CAAAGCTCCTCCCATTTTTAACAAATCTCTCATTTACACAAAGCTCTTCCCATTTGTACAAAAGTCCTCCCATTTACACAAAGCTCCTCCCATTTACACAAAGCTCCTCCCAGTTTTACAAATCTCCTCTCATTTACACAAAGCTCCTCCCATTTGTACAAAACTCCTCCCATTTACAGAAAGATCCTCTCTTGTTCGAAGCTCCTCCCAGGAGCTCAGTCTGCAGCCGAGCTCCGCCCCACAGAGCACCCCTCCCTCAAAGCATTGTTGTGAGGACATGCTGAAGTGGGAGTGTCAGAAACGGGAGGAGGGTCTTAAAGAGACAGAGGCTAAGTCATTTAGATAAATTTTGATGTAAAATCTAATTTTGTTGTTATAAACTGCATTTTCATAACTGAAGCTAACAGCTACTGGATTGTGGTTAAGATTTGAACTATGAATACAGAATGCCCCCCCCCCCCTTTAATTCTCTTCATTTTTTCCTCTCAAATGTATGATTTATGTAAAAATGCCAGAATAAGAAGCAGACTTCCTGTTCTCCTGCCTCCGCAGGTGAATCTGTTCTTTCTGCTGAACATCGTGCGAGTCCTCATCACCAAGCTGAAGGTGACCCACCAGGCTGARTCCAGCCTCTACATGAAGGCGGTGCGGGCCACCCTCATCCTGGTGCCGCTCCTRGGGATTCAGTACGTCCTGCTGCCCTACAAACCTGAAGGACGGGTCTCCTCTGAAATCTACGACTACATCATGCACATACTGATGCACTACCAGGTGAGTCGTTCCATGCATTCTAATSATATTTCGCTGCATTAAGCTTACTTCCTGTTTTAATATCTATAACGTGGAGCTCCAYACGACTATCTACGTTTCCTTTTGGATAAAAACCAACGATTCTTAGAAGCCCCTGAAGAGAGTTAGTKTTGTGTTCCAGTGAAGAGCTGCAGGAAGGAAGGCATGAAGGGGTGTTATCTGATCGTCCTGAGAAAAATAAATTGAGCAACAGCCTGAATTATTTCATTACAGCTGAGTTTTTCTGTTTCTGCTTTCAGAGCTCACATGTTGTCCTGTTAGCAACGTAGCTCTAATTTATCTCTTTTCATTCCAGGGCCTGCTTGTGGCGACCATCTTCTGCTTTTTTAATGGAGAAGTAAGTCGGCGTCGTAAAGTTTGGCTTTATTTTGAAGAGCTGCAYGCACACGTAGAGACTTCCTGTTTAGAGAGGTTTAGATAGAAAACATCCTCTGCTTGTTATCTCCACTCAGCTGTCTACTGAGAGGCTAACACGGGTGGGCAATCCTGGTCCTGGAGGGCCGCAGCCCCACATGTTTTACATTTTTCCTGGCTCCAACACACCTGAWTCAGTCACTGAACTACCTCTTCATGTTCTGCAGTATGGAGGACYRAAACTAACACAATTAAAAATAAAAGCAGAAATAGATAAATGAACCTTTAAATAAATAAATACATAAAATTCACCAAATAAATTAAAAAGGAGAACTTTACCTCATGTTTTATAATTAATTTGACCTTCATATTTAGGTTGCAACTTAAATATTTAGTTAGCTACCTAAATATTTAACTTAAATATTTAGCTGGCTACCTAAATATTTAGGTTGCAACTTAAGTAGCCAGCTAAATATTTAACTTAAATATTTAGCTGGCTACCTAAATATTTAGGTTGCAACTTAAATATTTAGCTAGCCAGCTAAATATTTAACTTAAATATTTAGCTGGCTACCTAAATATTTAGGTTGCAACTTAAATATTTAGCTAGCCAGCTAAATATTTAACTTAAATATTTAGCTGGCTACCTAAATATTTAGGTTGCAACTTAAATATTTAGCTAGCCAGCTAAATATTTAACTTAAATATTTAGCTGGCTACCTAAATATTTAGGTTGCAACTTAAATATTTAGCTAGCTACCTAAATATTTAACTTAAATATTTAGCTAGCTACCTAAATATTTAACTTAAATATTTAGCTGGCTACTTAAATATTTAGGCTGCACCTTAAATATTTAGCTAGCAAGTTAAATATTTAGGTAGCTAGCTCAATATTTAAGTTAAATATTTAGCTGGCTAGCTAAATATTTAATTTGTAAGTTAAATATTTAGTTTATAAACTATGACATTTATAAATGTATGAATCATATGGTGAAAAACTGACTTTGAAAAATAAATCTGTTCTTTTTTTCTTATAAAAGGCTAAATAAAACATGAATATTGGTGGTAATTTTTGWCTGTGTAACTTTACAAACGGCGCCCTATAGTCCACTCCACTAACGTTTAGGATAAAAAATGTCCGGTGGCTTCAGCTTCCTGTTTGTTATTTAAATCAAATTATTCAAGTAATCTCTGCGGTTAACATCAGGTTGTTTGTTTCTCTGTTCAGGTCCAAGCGGTCCTGAGGCGGCACTGGAACCAGTATAACATCCAGTTTGGCAACAGCATAGGGAACCACTCGGACGCCATGCGCTCGGCCTCCTACACGGCCTCCTCCTTCACGGAGGTGCAGGGCTGCTACAGCATCGACGGCCACTCGGAGCACATGAACGGGAAGAGCTTCCACGACGCCGACGCCTCCATCTTGAAATCGGACGGCCCCTTCGCCTGACGTCAGCGCCGACGCCGCGGCGCCTCGCCGGACTGCAGGAGGCGCTCGCCTCCGTCTCGTTCACAGACCTGCGAGGCGGGCTCGCTGCGACGCCGCCTCACCTGGACCCGATCGGATAATCCCAAACCTCTCTGCCTGACAAACAAACAAACAAACAAACAAACAAACAAACAAACTGCTTGCTCCTCTTTGGCCTTAACGCTTCGCACAAAGGGCCTTCTGATTACACTGTAAAACCTTTTGACGCGGTTAGTGCCAAAAAACCAAGAAATGTTCCCTCCTTACTTTATATTCTCCACAATATATCATGTAGATCATAATATATTAAAGCATTTCATGTAACATATAACAAATAACACCAGACAGTATTTATTAAAACTGATACGTCCTCTGAAAAGTAAGCATTTTTACTTTGTTTTCTGTTTCTACACGTGTTTAATGCAGCGGAGTCTGAAGACAAACTTTTGGATGAACCCTTTAAAGCAGAAAAACTCGACGCACCCGTGTGTTCTTACTGCTGAAGAATGTAAAAGATCGATGTGAAACACGAGAGTCACATTCCCTGAAACCAGCRGGGCTTCAGCTCGGACAGGATCGCTTGTTTTTATAATGCAGATTAAGTGTGTTTTAGGAGTTTTGTAACATTTTTTTAATTTTTTTTGCACAATCTGTGATGATACTCCCACAGTGTTTTACGTTTGGTGCCAAGCTGAATTCTTCTTCATTCAAAGGAAAAAATTCAGCCAAAAATCAATCATGTATTTTAAAAAGTCTTTTATTTTTTACATTTAAAGCCATCGAAACTTTGTTTTTCTTTTTATTTAGCTACTTTTGCAGGTTATTTCTCTCATTATTTGTCTTAAATAGTTAAAACACTTTGAAGTGAGGTTCTGTGGATGTGTTAGTACCAGTTAGTATCTTACCTGCTGCAGATAGCTCTTTGAATGACCTCGGCTTGGAGAAATTAACTTGATTAGACTGGGTGAATAATGCTAACATTTAGGGGTGTAAGAAAATATCGATATAGTGAAATATCGCAATATTTCATTTCCCGATACTGTATCGATATTCTAAAGCCCTGTATTGATTTTTAATTAAGGTTTAAAATGTCTATTTTCCTGCCAGCCGTTCATTTTTATGTTGTAGTTCAGCCTCTGACCACTAGTTGGCAGCAGTGAGCCAGCCATTTGGCTCCTCTACCTCTTGAGTGCCAGAGAGTAAGGGTAAACATTAGCTTTCCTTTTTTTTCAGTAAGAGGTTTTTATTTAATAGAATTTTTGGACAAAAAAATCGCAATATATCACAATATACTGCCTTGCTTACAGTATCGCAATATATCGGGATATATCGTATCGTGACCCGTCTGTTATGATATGTATCGTATCGCCAAATTCTTGCCAATACACAGCCCTATTAAAAAGGTATAAATGTTATTGCTTTCAGTTTTTGCTTCATAAAAATGTAAAACTTATTTTAATTTCACCCAAAAACGCATCTTATTCCAGTTAGGGCTAAAAGATGTTTATTTTCTTGACGATTTTCACTGTTTTTCAGTCCAAACGTGTCCTTCGTTCACCTTTTTTCCTCACCTCATGTGAAACCCTGGGAACACGAGGAGCTGATGTAAATATTTGCCGTCAGTCTAACAGCAGAGCAGCTGAGAGGATGAGTGCTACGACCACGGAGCAGGAACTCTCCGCATGCCGAACGCGAGGCGAGAAGCGTCGCCGGCTGTTTGTTTATTTAACGACTGGATTTGACGCGGAGCAGGAAGTGTTTCTCTCCTGAGGAAACATTAAAGYCTCGGGTTTTATTTCGACGTGGAGCTCCAGCAGGATCTGATCCTGCTGTTTTCACTGCGGTTTGATCCAAGACAGAACTGTGACGTTTGGTTTTCACTCCTGTGTGTCTTTCTGTCTTTGTGCGTTTAAATGTTTGGGACTCTTCGGAGGGTTTGTGAAGYGCTCTGTGTTCAAATGTCGTACAAACTGTTGAGGACGACGTCTGTAGGTCTCATCTCTACTGTTACTGTACTGGAACACGTCGACGCCACGCTGCTGTCTGAATGTTAAACTTTTATTCTCTGGATGTGAAAACACATATAYASKGTGTGWRTRTATATATAATTACATGTCTTTTATTATGTAAATGAATCAGACAATGTTGCTATCTTGTGTGTATCTACATACTAATACATCATAGCACAGCACAAGCCTTTTTCTGGTTTTATTTCGGTCTAGACGTGGAACATGTTTTCAGGTAAATTTTTGCACACTTCTGTTGCATTTTACTATAAAACAATAATAATTTAATCAAATTTGTTAAATTTGATTGATGTAGCACCAAACTTTCAACATGCACYGGCTTTTCTAAGCTAAAAAACAGCCAGACTCTTATTTTGAAAAGGTTCTGGTTAGTTGTTTGGATTTTAAAGGGCCCATGGTATCAAATTTTAGTAATAAATAAAAATGCATTTTTGGAAAGACAACATTTAGAAGATTTTACAAAACAAATTTCACACCGCTGTGATTAACAGTTGTTGAGATATTTGCATGTGAAGTGACAGGAAGTGATGTCACAGGAGAATGTCTGCATGTAAACAGAGTGTTATTGAAATAGCTAACAACACTGCAGAGGAGAATCTGATGTTTCTATAAATTATTTTGAGTCTCTACAGAGAGAAGAAGAGTTTAAATAATTTTATTTCAATAAATAAAAAGCAGAGTTCCCCTTTGATGTCACTTTCTGTTTCACTTTCGCTGACTCAAAATCAAAAGAAAACATGACAGTCGTGTGAMAAAATGGGTAAAATTGTGTGTATTATGCCAAGGTACTGAAAYATAAAGAGGTTTTCTTTCACTTTTTGTATTTGGCACATGCACTTTAAGCTCTGCGTTTTTCAGCCGYTACGCTCTAAAAGCCGGAGACGATCCTTCGACCTTCTGGCTGCGAGGCAACAGCTGGAACCTCTGCCGYGCCGCGACGCCCTCTGCTCGCTGGGACTTCAGAGTTAAACACACATGTTTCTGCTTAAATGTTACACAATGTTTAGAAAACGCTTCATGTTTAGGGGCGACAAAGTTTCTTGTTAACCGCACGTCGGATGATTCATTAGGCGGACTTTCCCTTTAACGATTTTTCAAAACGTGGGAAAAATGCGCCCGATCCAGATTTTCTGGCGAGGCCGGGCTCCAGCCCAAACAAGCAGATCCGTGTTGCAGTTTTTTTTTTTTTTTCAATTTGTTACCAATAAATGCTTAAAAGTCCTCTGCAGTTTAATGCTGCAGTAAATCCAGCAAATAGGCAGCGGAGTGACGGAGCTGTGGAGCTGATGTGACACCTCTGTGGCTCCACAGCAGACGGGCGTAATRAGAAACATGTGACACTTTGGCACAGAGTCTCCACAAGAACCGTCAGGATTTTTCCTTTTTCTTCAGTTACAAACCGAAACGACAGTAAAGTTCATTCTGAAATATTTGAAGAGCAGGATTTTTAACGCATTCAAACGGTGTAACCTGATGAAATACACCCAGATTAACTTTATTTCTTTAAAGATTGTTTTGACACGTAGCTCATTCCCCATTTTATATATTAAAACGTTCAGCTCGTGTAGGGCATTTCATTTATTTAGTTTTTCTGCTGTTTTTTCTTTTTAAAAAAGTCCAAATTTTCATAAATCTTCACTGAACCTTTTACCTTTTCTTCAGGTTTTGTTTTTTAATTTCTTTGTGCTAATTTCAGAATCCATCAGCTTCTATTTTGTTGATTTTTGCTTTTTTTCTGCGTTTTTAACCATCATTCTGACATTTTTTGTCTAATTTAGGAACTTAGAAATTTAGAAACTGAGACGTTTATTTTCTAAACATGATGTCCCAGTGGCTTTCAAACCCCAAAACACATTACGACAAAGGCCGGTTC